CCTTCTCTCTTTCTTCCCCGCTCTCTTTCTCCCCTTGTATCCTTACATGTGTTCACTCTGCAACAAACATACCAAAGTACATGGTCATCCTGACGTCGAGTCTCGACCCCCTCCTTCCCCTTACCCATGCCCCCTCTACCCCGTGTTCTCCCTGCTCAGAGCCAAATTCTCCTTCCTAATCCACCTCTCCTACCCCAAAGTCCAAAACCAAAATCTAACAATAAAAGCATTCTGCGACTCTTCTATCGCTCCCCGCCCCCCGCCCTCCTCCTGAAAAAAACCTTCTCGAAAAATCTTTAAATGGGTTGGGGAGGGGGGACAGAAAAAATCAATTTACCAAATCTTTTTGCCCCTTTCACAACCCCTCCCACCCCCACCCCACCCCGACAGACCTAATGGGATGAGTTCTCGATTACTATTTGCCCCGAAGGACAAGCAGAGGCGGCAGGAGGCTAGCCGAGGTAAGTTGAATCCGTACCGGTACGTGATGCCATACCGGGCCCCGACCAAGCAGTCCACCTCAAAACTGCTGACCACTACCGGAGACTATCTCAAGAACAACGACAGAGTCCGGCAATTCTTCGAGGTGGAGGCTGTATGACGTCATCGCTGCGTCTTCCCTCCTAGGCTGTGTTGCCAACTGAGTACCGTAGGATAATAAGAAGAAGAATAAAAATAACAACACTAATGATAATAATAATACAGATAATAATAATAATAATAATAATAAGGTTGGCGGGTGCTTTGGACTGGTTTGCTCCTTCTTTCCTATCAAACATCTGTCGTCCTCATCTTTCCTCCTCCTTTTTTTCTTCTTCTTTTTTACTCTCTTGAAACTAATGAAACACCTCTAATCTTCGGCACTTATATGTATAACCTAAATCTGTTGCAAATACTGTAAAACTCTTACTAAAGCTAAAATCTAAGAGGGTGCCCCTGACCCCTGATCGGACCTTGTTTGTGACCTGACCTCTCGTGGCCTGCAGACCAAGCTCCCTCCAGACTTTACGTTCCCGCCCTATTGTGAGAGGCACAAAGAGGAGATCCTGGATGACCAGTCTGACGTACTGAGGTCCAGCAACGGCAGCCTCATCAGCCTTCCCAATGTCTGCAAGTTCTTCTGCATCTGTTCCTGCAAACGACCAGAGAAAAAGTGACTGCTATATTACATAGGCGTGTCATAGTTCTCGGCGGTGGTGGTAGTGGTGGTGGAGGTGGTTGTTGTTAGTATGGTAATGGTGGTGGTGGTGGTTGAAGGGATGGTTATGATGATACTGTTTGTGGTGATGACAGTGGCTATGATTTTGGTGATTATGGTGACGTTGGTGGCTGGGGATTCGGGGAGGGTGGTGCTACTGTGGTGGTGATAATGGTAATTAAGATGATGTTGATGACGATGGTGATGGCAATGTTCAAAACTTTGCTGTATGACAATGGAAGGGATGATGCTGGTTGTGGTGGTTGTAATCTCTAATCTCTCTCTCTCTCTCTCTCTCTCTCTCTCTCTCTCTCT